CAATTTAACTTTTCTGTGTTAATTTCTGTTCTCGATTTCTATTCTTCATCATTGGTCCGACCTGCTTGTGATTCTTCCATGCCTCCAATGGAGACACGTGCTCAACAMACTCGCGTGGATCAGCATGAGGAACAGATTATGAAGCTTCAATCAGATGTGGTGGAAATCAAGACAGCGGTGCTGGCGATCGAAACAGAGATGCAGAGTGAGGCGGAATTTCGTAAGTTCGTTATGGCTTGGGTTGCGAAACAGGATAAACATCCTTCTTCGGACGAGGGCGGGGTTTCCGGCGTTTCTGCGGTTTCTCCTCATCCTCTGACGCCGTCATCCAAGGGTCATGCGGGATTGGTGGGTGAARTTTCGACTCCTCTGTCCATGCCTCCACAGCGAACGGAAACGCTTCCGTGGGCAGTGAAGAAGGTGAAGTTGCCAGAGTTTTCAGGATTTGATCCACAGGGATGGATTCAAAAGGCTGAGTTGTACTTTGAGATCAACAACACGCCTCTGGATTTGCGTATCAGATTAGCGCAATTGAGCATGACGGGGGTTGCTGTTCATTGGTTTACCATTGTGAAACAAGTATATGACTCTCTCACGTGGGAACAATTAACAACCGAGCTTCTGCAACGTTTTAGCGAGCTGGAAATTCAAAATCCGTTTGAGAAATTGGCAACCATCAAACAGGTATCCTCTATTCATGATTACATCGATGACTTTGAATATTTACTATCCCTGGTTCCCCGATTACCAGAGGAACAATCGTTGGGATATTTTTTGGCTGGTTTGCGTGATGATGTCAAGCAGTGGGTCCGTTTACATCGGCCTAAATCGCGCTTAGACGCGATGTACTTGGCGAAGGATGTGGAGGAAATGCTCCGTCCGTCRTCTGGTAGCAMTTCGCMGTTCCGTTTCCGGTATCATACGGGTCCGGGGCCTGGAATGAGCTTCACAGGGGTGGAGCGGGCTGCGTATACGAGCCCTTCGGATTCTCGAGGAGCCCAAAATATTCCTGCTACTAATAAACCATCTCCTTCACAAATCGGTCAAAACAAATCGTTCCCTAATTTTCGTCCTCCGGTGAGTGCTTCCACCGAGTTTGGGAACCTGTTTAATCGTAATCGTGGGGTCCGTTCTCTTACCCGTTCTGAATGGGATGAACGACGAAAGAAGGGCTTATGTTTTCGGTGTGGGCAACAATTTGGTCCGGGTCATAAATGCCCGGAAGGCAAATTACGGATCTTACTTTTGGGGGACGATGAACTGCTGGAAGAGGAAGGGAAAATTCACAATATRGAATTTGTTGAGGATCAAGGGGTAGCTGAAGAGGAGACCGGCCTTACTGGAAGTTTTAACTCTTTGGAGTTGTTGGGAACTCCTTGGGCAACGAATTCGGGTGGTAAGACTCTTAAGCTCGAGGGGTCCATTTCGGGCATTCCTCTGATTATCTTAATCGACAGCGGCGCTACACATAACTTCATATCTCGAAAATTGGTGATGGCTTTGGGACTCCCTATTCGCCTTATTCCAGGTATTTCTATTCAAGTTGGAGATGGATATAAGGTCCTGGTTACTCAAATGTGTCCGAATCTCAAGGTGTCTATTGGAGAATGTGAATTCACGGTTAATGTCTTGTTATTCGACATGGGGCCTCTAGATTTGGTGTTGGGAATAGAATGGCTTAAGTCTTTGGGAGAGGTGGCGCATAATTGGGAAACTCTGTCTATGCGATTTGTGTATCGTGGAGTTTCCGTATGTTTTCAAGGAATATCCGGGCCGTTGAATGCTCAGTCCTCTTTGCATAGTTGGCTATCTTTAGACGACTATGCTGATAATTTTAATGTCGCTTCTGCTGAGTCGGGAAGATCGCCGAGGGAACCGCCCCTGTCCGCTCTGCAATCTCGTGAACTACAGGAGGTGTTTGATCGATTCAAACCTGTGTTTGAGGAGCCAAAAGGATTACCACCGAGCCGGACTCATGATCACAATATCACTCTCATATCACCTCAGGAACCCATATGTGTGAGACCGTAYAGATACCCTCACATTCAGAAAGAAGAAATCGAGCGTCAGGTACGAGAATTATTAGCCTTGGGAATGATCCGACCCAGCAAAAGTGCCTTTTCGAGTCCTGTTATTTTGGTTAAGAAGAAAGATAATTCTTGGCGTATGTGTGTAGATTATCGAGCCCTTAATAAAGCCACGATTCCGGACAAATTTCCCATTCCTGTTGTTGAGGAATTGTTAGATGAATTAAAAGGGGCTCGATTTTTTTCTAAGMTGGATTTAAAATCCGGTTATAATCAAATCCGGATGAAGGTCGATAGTGTGGAGAAAACGGCTTTCCGCACTCACGACGGGCATTACGAGTATTTGGTAATGCCGTTTGGCTTAACCAATGCTCCGGCCACCTTTCAAGCGGTGATGAATGAGATCTTCCGACCTATTCTTCGTAAGGTGGTGGTGGTTTTTTTTGATGACATTCTGGTATACAGCTCCTCATGGTCTCAACATCTCAAGGATTTGTCTCATGTGTTGCAAATTCTAATGACCAATCAGTTCGTGGTCAACCACAAAAAATGTTCGATCGGTCAACGGTTGATCAATTATCTGGGTCACATAATTTCTGGTGAAGGGGTGGCTATGGACCCCGAGAAAATAACTGCCATTCTCGATTGGCCACCTCCTAAGAAGATAAAAGGATTAAGGGGATTTCTGTGCCTTACGGGATACTACAGAAAATTTATTCGCAACTATGGAAGTATAGCGAAACCATTGACCGAGCTAACCAAAAAAGATGCTTTCCTTTGGAGTGAGGAGGCTCAAGTGGCTTTCGAMGAGCTYAAGCAGGCTATGGTTTCTGCCCCGGTGTTAGCATTACCTGATTTTAAATTGCCTTTCGTGGTAGAATGTGATGCGTCGGGTAGAGGCATCGGCGCTGTTTTGATACAGCAACAGAAACCCATCGCGTTCTTCAGTAAGGCTCTTAGTGAACAAAATGTGAGTAAATCGGCGTATGAACGCGAAAATATGGCTTTGGTGTTAGCCGTGCAACATTGGAGAGCATACTTGTTGGGTACACATTTCGTGGTGTACACAGATCAAAAAAGTTTGAAGTTCCTATTGCAGCAACGAATTTCGAATCCAGGCCAACAAAATTGGATTGCGAAATTGCTAGGATACAATTTCGATATTTGCTACAAGCCGGGCAAAGAAAACAGGGTTGCATATGCTCTTTCTCGACGTAGTGATGATGGCGAGCTGTCGCAATTGGTGTCAACACCAATCTGGGTTCAAGGGTCCCAATTAATTAAGGAAGCAAAAGCAGATGCGGACCTTCAAAAGATCGTTCACGGATGGGATCGCAATCCAGCTGATTTTCCCTGTTATGAGGTGAAAAATGGTATCCTTTACTATAAGGATAGACTAGTCATTCCCCGTACCTCGAAGTTTATTCCGGCATTGTTATCGGAGTTTCATGTTACGGCCTCGGGGGGCCACTCAGGTTATTTGCGCACTTATAGGCGATTGGCTGCAAACCTCTATTGGTCCGGGATGGTTGCTCGGGTACAACAATTCGTGCGGGATTGTGACATTTGTCAGCGTTGCAAAGCCAGTTCTACGGTCCCTGGGGGTCTGTTACAGCCTCTAAATGTTCCAGAAGCTATCTGGGAACACCTTTCTATGGACTTTGTTTTGGGTCTTCCAAAGTCTAAAGGTTTTGATGCTGTATTGGTGGTGGTTGATAGGCTTTCAAAGTATAGCCATTTCATTTTGTTGAAACATCCTTATTCGGCTCGATCAGTGGCCGAAATTTTTGTTCTGGTACAACTCGTCTTACCATGTGTCGACAGGGAAATCCCCATTTGAAATTGTTTATGGAAGAAAGCCTCCTTCGATCGTGCAGTTTATTCCAGGTGAAGTACGAGTAGAAGCAGTTGGGCAGGAACTTCGAGACCGTGATGAAGCACTCAAGCAGCTCCGGACTCACCTACTTCACTCTCAAATGGTTATGAAGGAGCAAGCGGATAGAAAAAGGAAGGATGTTAGTTTTGACGTTGGGCAATGGGTTTATGTCAAGCTTAAACCATACCGACATATGTCCGTAAATCAACGAATTCACCAGAAATTGGCGGCACGATTTTTCGGACCTTT